GGGGATCTTGTGGCCTGTTATAAACTGGTTAGGGGGGATCAGCAGGCGCTGGGGGAGTCCCTGTTCCCCCGAGCGCCGCAAGGAGTGACCAGGAACAATGGTCACAAGCTGGCGGAGGGAAGGTTTAAGTTGGACATCAGGAGGCGCTACTTCATGGTCAGGGCGGCTACGGTCTGGAACCAGCTTCCAAGTGAGGTGGTGCAGGCTCCCACCCTGGGGGTTTTTAAGAGGAGGTTGGATGACCACCTTACTGGGGTCATTTGACCCCAGTGCTCTTCCTGCCATGGCAGGGGGTCGGACTAGATGATCTGCTCAGGTCCCTTCCGACCCTAAAAACTATGAAACTAAACTATGAAACTATGAAACATTATCTCCATTGTAGATTAGAAAACATTCAGCACCAGTGTGGGGTGCTTCTCTGTGGCACTCCCTAGCATGGTCCTTTGATGATGTAGACCTTCCTAGCTAGCCCTTAAATAGACTAATGTCAACAAGCAAATTTGTAACACTGTTCCGTGGTATTCAATTTCCATCTGGTACCTAGTAGCCCAGACAATTTCCTGCATCTCCCAGTAGAAACAACAACATTATAAATGCATGTAAACAAGCTGGCCTAACCCTAAAATGTACTTTGGAACTAATGAAATTCCATTTCCCAGGACTGATGGTCCAATGCTTCTTTGCAGCTCACTGTCTAAGTTAGTGATAGAGATATACTCCTACTACAATTAATATTTTATATAATTGGCTACTACTCTTTGTAAATAATCTTTGAATTTTATCTCAACAGAGATCTCAGTCAGCATTCTCATTGACTATGGAAGATGCACCAAGCAAGGGCCTGGACCTCGCATCTTCTATGTCTGAGCTTCTTTGGAGACATCAGAAAGGCCAATCCAGGAGAAAGAAGGAACATAAAATGTCTGCATTGCCCAGCTGGAAAAGTGTGGACAGGCTAAATGAAATAAGTAAATATTTCTTGTACCAGTACACGCCCCCTTGTTTATTCCTTTTGGACAAATGTCCTTTTTCTATTGACGTGCAAACAACAGATGTAAAAAGGCCTGCACTAAATTGGCAATACTTATCATGACAATAATAATGGCTGCTGATGGATATGGAAAAAAAATTCACTTTACCAGAAGCAGCAGCGCATTAGTTCTACCTGGCTTGGCATCTGTATAGATTGGGTGCTTCAGCAGGGCTTTTTTTGGCGCTTTTATCTAATAGCTGATTGAATCAGCTATTAGATAAAAGCACCAAAAAAAGCCCTGCTGAAGCACCCGATCTATACAGATGTTGGGCGAGCTGGGTCAAACTGACATGATGCCTCTTTTGGGCATGTGCTGGGCTCAACATGGCCATGGGCCAAAATTAAAGTGCTGGGGCTTGGGGTTTTTTGGCGGAGTGGGTTATGTCTGTAAGCACCCATGAAGTCTATAGTGCTTGTTATTGTGCTGTTAGTTTCCCCTGCATAAAGACATCAGAATTTATCCTTTACTGAATAAAAAATGACTATCTTTACAAGTCAAGTAAGAGCAAATACACTGTGAGTTAACAATGTATTTATTGCTATGAGGCAAGGATTTGGGGGGCAAGGGGGATATCTTTACTGGAGGAGCTGCTTGAATGGGATAAAGTTAGACAAACTTTTGACTAAAATGCATTCTTCTTCCTGTCTGAAGGGGGGAAGCAAGCACAGCAACTGTTAACAGCGAGTAGAGCTGTGAAAGTGGAGGTGGGAGAAATTCCCAGAGGTAGTCGGCAAACAATTAACAGAAAAAAAGAAGCTTGACATCAAACGAGATCTAGACATAAGAAATGGGCGGAGGGGCATTATCACCTGTAGTGCGTAGGAAGAATTTCAGGAATCAGGTAGATTATAGTGTGTAAGAAAATCAGTATTGGTGTTCAGTCCTTGGTTCCTAGTATCCAGCCATCTTATGGGTTTTTGTTCCCAAGTTCGCCTTTTAAAGGTGTTTGGTGTATTTTCCTTGAGTATGAAGGTAGTAACATCAAAAAAGACATGGTTGTCCTGTGAGAAATGTGCTCCTACTGACATGTGTGTCTCGTGCTTTTTTTCTGTCAGAATTCATTCTTGTGCATAGTGCTGTTTAGTTTCATCCATGTAGTTACAACAGGGGCATTGGATCAGCTATATCACATTTTGGAAAAGGCATGTATAGTAGGGTTCATGGATTCTGATGGGTTCATTGTGGCAGGGGTGTTGATTTTAACAGCAGTGGAGATGTGTTGACGGGTGAAGCATTTGTTGTTAAGTAAGGCTGTGTCCAACTGATGTCTGTTGAGCAATGTGGAGTTTACTTCTGATGATGAGTTGGACAAGGTTAGGAGGTTGTTTGATAGCCAGAAGCAGAGAGACTTGGAGTATTTCTCTCAACGTCTGATCTTCATTGAGTACAGGTAATTGTTCAGTGGTTCTTCTAATCAGTTCCAAATGTGGAGTGCGCGGTCACAGTGGGGGTTTTTTTATTATAGAAGGGTATTTGGGGGTATTTGGGTGGCTCTTTCAAAGATATTTCTCTACTAAAATGTCCTTTTTGTATGAAGGTAGTGTTAGAGTGATATTGTAGCCAAGATGGTCTGGGAGTTATGTGAGAGGCAAGGATTTCTTAGGGTGATATATTTTATTGGCCCAACTCCATAGTTGGAATAGAGTTAAACCAGATTTTGAATGCAAGGCATTCTTCATCAGGTCTACACTGTGTTGGCATTTACTGCTTAGACCTGATGAAGAATGTCTTGCATTCAAAAGTTTGTCTAACTCTGTCCCAACTATGCATTTAGTCCAATAAAAGATATCACCTTAAGAAATCCTTGTTGTATGAAGGCAGATATTAGGCTGGCCAGGTGACCATCACCAGTGTTCTCCGCAGAGCAGGTGCTATGCAAATTTTCATTTTACTGCTATGCAAGTTTCTGATCAGAGTAACCTTCTGCCATGCATTATACAAAAAAAAAATGAGTAGGAGTAGGATTCTAGCCAAAAGCCTATATTCAGCAAGGCAATTAAGTAGATACTTAAATTTAAGCACCCACTTAAATTCCATTGAAGTAAATCACACAGTAATTTAGCACTTAACAATTACTTAACCACAGCTGAATGATGGATTGATAAAGGTGTGTTTTTTAGGTTCCCTGCTGATATTATGTCTTCATGCCTTCTAACATGGAGGTCACAGCTGGGATAAAACAAAGGTGCACTACAGAGACTGTTTTATGTATAATAGTTTATTGTATTGACTTGTGCGATATTATTTACTGCATCTTTGTTCTCTAGTTAGCAACTGTATGTTAAAACAGAGGGGCCAGCCTTTTTTCGGAAGTGCCACAAATTGGCCCTGCATCCTCCCCTATGGCTACTCTGATCCCCTTCCCCTGCCTAATCCACTGCTCTGCTCTCTGCTCTGTGCTTCCTGCCTGCTCTGCTGCTCTATCTCTTGCTGTGCTGACTGTCTCCTCCCTGATCTGCTACATGCCACCCACAAAGGCTGCCCATGCCATCTGTAGTATGCATATCGCAGGTTGGCCACTCCATTTTAAAACCTGCTCAAGCCGAAAGGATCTCAACCAGCAGTTCCAAGTGATAGCAGCAAATACCAGCGGTCCAATCATTCGTTTACTTGCATCTTATTAGATATTTATGCCTCCAAAAAGTGAATTGAAACTCCACAACTCTGATTAAGTAGCATTTATCTTTATTTTGAACCCTATTTATATGCAAGATCTCTATAGTGGTTCATTTCTCATGGCATCTCTGCTAATATGCAATCAGCTCATGTCCTTTACCTATATAATCAATTTTAAAGGCTTTTATCTATTTCAGTTATTCATATTTGCAGGTAATAGTTGCTTGTAGTGCTCGCCCTCTGTGGCCCTGAGGGATGAATGGGTGGCATGGGGCTGTTCCACAGGCTAGATCCCATGTGAAGTCATTTCTAATACAAGACAGTGAGTGCACAGATGTCATCTGGTGCACTGGTACAACCCTGCACACTTGATCAGGCCTTAGCGTGACTGCACACTGGGTCCAGCGCATGGGGCCCTGTCATCCAGCCTGGGGAGTTCCCCACGGGTCCAGAAATTTGGCAGCAGGGAATACCATGGCTCTGGGAACAATGACTGCTCCCCTGCCACTAGATTTCTGGACTCTTTTTGGGTGTTTGTAGACGAAACGGGGGCCCTAAATTGTGAGGCGGTGGGTTTTTAAACCCACCTCTTCAATTTGGGGCAAAGTAACCCCCGTGTCATGCACACACCTCGCACTTACCTGCCTCTCCGGTGAGGAGGGTGAGCTGCTGGCATGCGGAGCCATCCCTGGGTGGTGGGGGGGACTGGTGCTCCCTCCACACCAGCAGTAGCACCCGCCCACAGGCACCAGGTTCAGGCAGTCCCAGCGGGCAATGCAGCCACAGAGGGAAGCACCAGGCCCCCATGCAGCTCAGGCAGGCAGGCAGGCAGGCTCTGGAGAGGGGGTGGGGGGGGGAGATCAGGCTCACCACTTTTCTTGGGTGGAGCCTGTTTCCCAGGCTGCTGCCAGGCTGCCTGCAGGGCTTCCTGTAGAGCTGTGGAGCTGCACAGAGCCTGGTGCATCACTCCGCGGCTGTAGGGTACCAAACTAAAACTCCTTGAAGGAAATTTGTTTAGCTGCGTCCCAAGTCTTTCAAGGCGCACTACACTGCTGAATTTCCTACAGTGGCTGGAATTCATGCGCAATATGCCACCAAGGCATACAAACACCGACACCCTTAAAGCAGTGTAAAAGCATTTTGCCTGCTTTAAAGTGCCATGGACACATAGCCATGGAGAGAGCCCCATGGGCTGGATGACAGCTCTGTGGGCCAGGTACAACCTGTGAATTGACATGATTTTTCACATGTTTTGAGAGAGAGTGAAGAAGTAATATTAGGCAGTGCTTATACAGATCTGAGCCAGTTAATCATGGAGTAGCCAAACCCATCAGCAGGAATAGAGCTGCAAAAATCACTTGATGGGTTTGAGGGTGAAAAAATTGTTTGATTTTTTTTTTTTTTTTTGCCAGAGTGTGACTTACTTCATCGGGATAATTAATCCAGTTCTTTGAATTGATATGAAATTTCGGGATGAAAATGGGCCAAGGAGATTTAAATAAATAATACACAAAAAAAAAAAATCCTTAACAGAATTCAGAAGCTTAATTATCATTTTGTTGGTATTTTGGTTTTCTCCTTTTTAGGTTTGTTTATGCTCCAGGGAAAAACTGTTCCAAACCTCAAAGCATATTTACTATACTGCATATTTATTTCATAATTGTATCCTCTAATAGGCAAACAGCAGTGTCAAATAAAAAAAAATTCATTACCTTGACTTCCAGATATTTACAACCATAAAACTGGGGGCACCTGTTATTCCCATATAACAATATCAATGTTCCAAAAGCTGTTTTATCATTTGGGAGAAAAATTTAAACATTTGGAACAGTAATGCTCTACCTGTACTTTATATTTTGTGTCCTTCTAACCATTTATGTAAACAGTTGTGCCTGTCAGAGGAATCTGCATAAGATGCATAATTTGATTCAACGTGTTAAGATGAGTATGTAAACTCACCACACTGTTTAGTTTACAGCTATTATAGGCATTATGAATAATAAACCCATCAGATGTTCAAACCTACATTAAAAAACTCTCTCACATCCAGTAGGAAGTGGAATATGAATTTTGAATCTGTTTAAGCCTTAACATTTTGATAAATAGATCCCTTTTCTTGCATATTTTTGTTTTCTGAAATTTAGAACTTTAGCCTCAAATGAAGAACCTGTAGCATAACCTTGGATCCTAAATCTTATATATTTTATAATTCTGTGATGACTTCTGATTAAACAAAATATTTTCATATGATCCCTCGTGAAAGTGACTAACTCTCCCAGATTTTTCAGACCATTTCAAATTTCAAGGCTATGTCCTGGTATCCCTGAAATTGGATTTTTATCCCAAAATTGAATGCATTCTGCAGTCAGCTGAGTCAGGGCCACTCCTGGAATGGTCCTACAGTACCAGTCTGTGTCCTGGTTTGTTTCCTGAGAGGACAAAACATGACACTATCTGGTGCTATATGAATGTAGCTGTAATACTTCTGCTGCAGGTGGTAGTCATAGGTTACCTTCAGAGCCTGCAGCAGTATAGCCATGTTCATGCAGTGTTCCAGAAAGACTAGTAAATCCTCCTGAAAGCAGAGCAAATTAGCCCAGAGGCAGTGCCACATTAAGGCAGCTACTTGAAACGCAACTAGAAGAGGTGCAGGTAACGTGCACCAAACATTGGGTTGTTTGAGGCCCCTGACTCAAGGCATAATGGAATCTATGTAGCAAATCACGTATTCATTTCTTTAAGAATATAAGAAGTGCCATACTGGGTCAAACCAGTGGCCGAGTACCCTGTCTCCAGCAGTGGCAGGGGTGGGTCCTTTAGAGGAAGAGCACTGAGCTGGCTGTATCTAGAGTGATCAATCCCCTCTTCATTACCTTCCCTGATATCCACCATAGCCCAAGTTTCTGTCCATCTTTCTGTGCTGCTCCCATAATTAAGTGGGCAGCTTCTGCTAAAGTCTGTATTTGAATCTGAAGCAAGCAAATCAGCCTTTCCCACTGAAGTAATAAAATAATTCTTGGGGGCGGGGGGTTGTTCTTGTTTTAATTTCACAGGCCCGCCTCCTGTTTTACACAGCACCGATGGAAATTGGGTGGCTTTGCAAAATGTCGCCTTGCCCCTCCCTCGAATGCTTGCCAAACCAAAGAGCCAGGTGTTCAAAGCCTTGGAGAATGAGTCTAGCGTTGTGTCTGCTTATGATGAGATGGGCTCTGACAGCGAGGATGACTACGACTGGAATGTGGCCTTGAACAAGCTGCGCCAGAGACCAAGGCAGTTGTCGGAGGACTCGTATTATACTGATTCCCAGTACAACACAGAATGGGCTTATGGCAATGATCAGCACCAACCAATCACCTCCCCTTCCTCGGGACTGTGTACCAACACAGAGACTGTATACTCTGACTCAGAAACATCTTCAGTAAATTCTTCCAGAGAAGCTGGAGGATCTAGCCAGCTTCCTTGGCTGCAAAGGAGAACTCAAAGTGAGAAGTCCCAAGCTGAAAGAACCTATTTGCACGGAGAACTCGATGTAAATTTCAATCCACAGACATCCAGTATAGAGTATTCAGACAGCAGTGAGGCTGAGGAAGTCCAGTATGACTTAGAAAAGAGGTCTAGAAGGTGGAGAAAGAGCAAAGTTGTCTCAGAAGAACTGTGCGAAGGAAAGCATCATGGAAAAACTCACAAGAATGTGAGCTCAAATCAGGTAACTACATTTGTGCTGCAGGAGGAGGAAGTATGCAACAGCAGCTCAGGCATACTTACAACTATGCTAAGCATAGAAAGGATCGGGAGATCTCCTAATATCTTTATTTTTCTGGCTTATTAGAATTAAATGTAGTACAAAGAAGGTGTGTTGCTTAAACTATGATTGGTCTGCGCTGTACAGCCATTGCTTCCTCCTCTTTCCAGTCACCCACTGGATAATGACAGTACTCATAAGTTCAACATACAGGTCACCAATACAAATGAGAATTTGCCAGCAGTTAACAAGCAGCGGCATGTGATGAAGTTGCATTTTTTCTCTGTTCTTAGAACAGAAAACAACTGAGATATTTCACATACTTCTGTGTAGTAACAGTTGGTGAATGACTTTTTAGTGGAGGTAACTGCTGGTGATTGCTATGGACAAGTATGTAAAAGCAAATGGGCAGTTATTGAAATATAGCCCAGGTAATGTCTGGTTTTAATTTCCCAATGTATGCTTATCCTTGTGTTTTTACACACTGCTTTTGTTTAAGAAAATTGCTCAGGAAGAAAAGGAGGTAATCGGCAGAATATAACATCTAAACTATGAATATAAAAAGAACAGAAGCAGGCAAAGTGTTTTTTTCTCCCCACAAAAGATAGTTTTTATAACAAGGAAGTTAATAACATAAGAGCTGTATTTGGGTCAGACCAATGGTCCATCTGTCCCAGTATCCTGTAAAACAGTGGCTGAAGTGGATGTGATAGAGGCAGAGCTTTGAGCTGGATAGCTCTAGATACCCCCTATTCAGTACCTTCCCTGGTATCCACCATTATGAGTTTACAGATGCGAGACGAAACATCTCCAACCATTCTGTTAAGTAATCATTAATAGATTTATTGTCCATGAATTTATCCAGTCCTTTTTGAACATGGCTATGCTATTCATTACCACCACCTCCTGTGGTAATGAATTCTACGGGTGTTGATTCTGTGTGTTGCTTAGAAAAGTACTCTTTCTTTTTATTTTTAAACGTGTCACCTACTAATTTCAGCGGGGGCCCCCTAGTTCTAGTATTCTGGGACTTGACAATTAACCATTCCCTGTTTACCTAGTCTGCACCTTTCATGATTTTATAGACTTCTATCATATCTCCACCCAGGCTTCTCCTTTCCAAACTGAAGAGTCCTAGCCTTTTTAGTCTCTCCCAGTATGACAACTACTCCATGCCACTCACTGATCATTTAAGTTGCCCTTCTCTGTACTTTGTTAAATTAGTTCAATAACAGTGTAACCAGAAAAATCCTCTGCTTGGTGCATGCCCTAGTGCTGTGACTGGAGTTCGATGTAGGATCTGATTTTCCCCAGAAGCAAATAGCAACTATTACAATCCTGAACACCTGGACAAGGTGAATGGAAAGCTGAGCTGGCCTTTACTCCTGCACTGAGGATCAAGTAGCTCACTGATATTCTGTCTCGTGAATCCCATGGTTGGGACATCCTCTAATGCATCAGGATAGTGCAACTGCCTTAGGAATTAAATCTTCCTTTCCCCTATTCTTCACTTTGGAAGTAGATAGGCAATCTGCTCTATCCTTTAGATTCATGGACCAATCATTGTTAGTTCTTTCTTTTGTTGGTTTATACTACCTACCTTTATGTCTAACCTTTATATCTGCTCACCTACTCCCACCCTTAACAGAATCCTAGTGTTTCATGATGTTGAGGATACTGGTTAAATTACTTCTTGCTAGCATGTTCTGCATCTGCTCTGCCCCTTTGGAAGAAGAGACAGATATAGACATCCCCTGCTGGTACATTTCCAGGCATGCTCTATTTATTTTTAGCAAGAGCCAAAGCCAGTGAATTTTATTTCCTTCCCTTTCTACTTGTCTTACAAGTATTATAATGCATGCACAAGAGGGAAAATGGGTATGTGTGTGCATGCACAGAGATATACTTTGGCCTTCATGCCCCCTGCTACTCTGCAAGAAGTACCAAGAAGCAGAGCACCCTGATTAGGTCCATGCTTCCAAAGAACAGGATGCCTGTTAGCACGCTGGGCTGCATGCTTTAGCAGCAGGTATAGCATATGCTTCAGTATCCCAGCCAGTGCAGAAAATGGTTATGCCTTTCAGGCTTCATTCAGATGTCTTTCACCAATGGTTTTAATTTCTCTCCAGTGTGTTCAAGGACCCCACAAGATATAAAGCAAAAGGCAAAAATCGTTTGTTTGTTTTTTCTTTGCCTCTGTCAGAGAACCAAGGCAAAGGCAAAATTTGGCCCTGAATCACTTTCACAAAGGCAATGTTTTTAAAGTAGCAAGATTCTCCTACAGCACAAAAGAGGGAAGCAAGACACAGGGGGAAGGAGCAAAGAAATGCAAAACAAATTGTATAGTTTAAACTTACTCTTGATAGCTGCTCATTCCTTCAGCAAAGAGTAACACAAAACCATTGTAGATAAAACACCGGTGAGAAAGACCAAGGAGATTGGCCATTGCCATTCTAATAAAACATTTATAAAGAGGATGTAGCTAGGATTGAAAATTCTAGTGGAAGGCAGTGAAAATGATCCAGGGGATTGGCGGTATGAGTTAGAGTAAGAAGACAAATCATCCAGACTTAGTCTATATTCCTGAGAAAAATGAGAGTAGAGGAATGGCAAAACTCTATGAATTTGCAAAAGTAATTTCCTGATTCAAACTAAACCATTGAGACTGAGCAATTCAGATGAAATGTCTTATATACAGGGTGATGCTCTTCAAGTGCCCAGAGTAGGGGGAGAGCACTATTCTGCTCATCACACTTGCCTCCCTCTCCCACAGATACACAGATTGGTGCATCGCTGCACTGCACAGCTCCTGTGGCTGGGCAGAGTCACCTCAAGGTTCCCCCGTCACTGCAAAGACTCCCAGGGGGAGTCTGAGAAATGTCTAAGGGGCAAGGATTTTTTGGGATATCTTTTCTGGGTGAACTGTATTGTTGGTAGCAGTGTTTGGGCATAAAGCGCCCCTCCTCAGGTCTCCATAGTTCAGTGCACTTGGAATCCATAGTGATGTATATTAAGGAACTGTACTTTCCATCACACACACACACACACACACACACACACACACACCCACCCACACACACACACACACACCCACCCACACACACACACACACACCCACCCACACACACACACACACACCCACCCACACACACACACACACACCCACCCACACACACACACACACACCCACCCACACACACACACACACACCCACCCACACACACACACACACACCCACCCACACACACACACACACACACACACACACACTGGAAAGTACAATACCTTAATTGCTTTATATGAATGACACTTGCTTCCATTTTGAAGACAGCTACTGCTTTTATAAAATGGCATCACCTGCTAATTACAGTCTTCCTACCATTTAGCTCCACATATTGTCTGTTCCTCTGACTAGTCACTGTAACTGGATGTTGAAATACAGGGTTTACTCTTTAATCATTCCACTAGATGGCGCTTGTGCTTTATTTACAGAAAATATGGGCCTTTTAACCCCAGACTTTCCTACCTGTAGAGCAGGAGTTCTTAACCTGGGGTCCACGGACCCCCAAGGGGTCTGTGGATAGATTTCAGGGGGTCCGTGAACTTGGATGGGAAAAAAATTACGTCTTCATTTTCACTAACCTCTAACTGAAATTTAGCATTTCCTTCAATTATGAATGTAGGCAACAAACCACAGTAGCATTAGCAGTACCTGTGACTTTGTCACCAGTAGAAATTACAGATATTTTCATATCACGTTACAGTTGTTGCAGATATCTCGAAATATCGTTTACGCTCATCACTACTTTGAAATTACGGTAGTTATTAGACCCGCCGCTAGATCGCACGTGATTGCAGTCTTCCTGTCTACAGACGCTCATTATTCTGAGAAGGGGTCCATAGGCTTCACCAGACTGCCAAAGGGGTCCATGGCACAAAAAAGTTAAGAACCCCTGCAGTGTAGAGTGTATTATTTGACCTTAGCTATTTACAAGAAGAACGGCTGCTTCTTTTCTGTGTGTCCTACAATGAAGTAATGGTCATTTTTGTGTTTCTTTTCTTAATAGGTCACAGAGTAATGTGGGTTTGTTACTGAACCACCCCAGCTAGTTTTCTGGCTTGTTCATGTGCTTATGCACAGTAAAATTAGAAATCATATTTCTAATTTTAAAAATTGACAAGGACCCCAAATTAATCTAACCTAAACTTAATTGATTAAAAAAATCCGTAATACAGAAAAATATACCATGACATTTACAAACAGTTCACTGTTAACTGTGTTTGAATGCTCAGGAATTTACCAGTAGCAAAACCATGGTGATTTAAGTTTACAGCTTTGGGTTATATTTCTCTCTGCATGCAAACAAGAACTACAAAATACCTAGCTTGCTCATAATGAAGCAGTAGTTGTGGAGCATGGATAGAAAGATGACCAGCAGCTACAGCTGCATCCGTGGTCTCACCAAACTCAGTATGGTGCTGCTGTGTCTTCACTAGGAAAAAAAAGGAAGGAGATTCTTAATGCAAAGGAGCTAGGACAAGGCCAAAGTAATGTCAAGGCAGCTTGCAACATATGCTAATGTGTTTAATTAAAGCCTGTGCTCACTACAGTCTTTAATTCTTCCTGCCCACTCATGTAAGCTACAAACTGCTTTGTCTTTGTTGAGCATTATGAATACCTGGTTTTCACCTAGTAAAAGCCCCTGGTTGACATCTTCAGACTAACACAGCTAACTACCTCCCTTTTTTGAGTTAGGTCATCATCCAAAGCCCATAAAACTGAAAAACATCCACAGATTTCATTGGACTTTGGATGTGGACAGCCAGGAACTAACCTTTAAGTACAATCTTATCCCAATCAAGTTCTTGATTTGGAAGGCTAATATGATTTTGTTGGCCCTGAATACAAGGGTGTAATTCTACCAGCTTGTTATCAGTTAATCAGGTTCTCTTGAAGGCCCTGACACTGGGTGTGCTCAGTCCTAATAGGCAATACCTTTTTTTTTTCATTAGAGCCAGGCAGCTGTAGAACATGATGTGATGGCTTTGTAGTATAAACGTGTTCAAGAAGTATTACTGTACATGGAGAGTACTATTCTCTCATGTCCACTGCAGCTCCTAACCAGGATTTGAATCCATTTGAACAATTAGCTACTCTATTTCACCCCCACATCAATTGTAAATATCAACTGATGATCTGACCAACATATTCAGTTGATACAATATGTCAGTGCCATCCATGATAGAACTATCAATCAAAAAGCAAAATCTTTCCGAACAGGTTCTGTATCCCTTACCGTTTCTACTGGAATTTGACCTCATAAGCAACCTTTGGGAAAATGCTAAGTAGGAACTACCTCCTATTTCACCTTTACACACCTTATAGCAATATAAGAGTTGTTTGGAGCACTTATACACCATTTGGATTCTATTTGCATTTGTGTGGGTAAGTTTGCCCTGTGCTATCTTGCTAAGCATGCCTAGAAGGCAGCATTCATAGATTCATAGATAGTAAGGCTGGAAGGGACCTCAGAAGATCATTGGGTCCAGCCCCCTGCACAAAGCAGGAAACGTAACTGGGGGTCAGGTGACCCCAGCAAGGTGACTATCTAGTCTCCTCTTGAAAGGCTGCCTAGGCCCAGGAGTGGAATAGAATTGCCCAAGTAAACTCATAATTGTATGCATGTCCCAAAACTTCAGGTGCAAAAAACAACAAATAGCAATGGGAAGAGAGGGTCAACCTGCCTTTTATCCCTGGCCGTAAAATAGAATAGACAGACTATCCTACTGCTGTTTATTCATTTTGTCCAACGAATATTAAATGCAAGATGCAGAAGAGCCAGTGGGAGCCAGAAGAAAGAACCAGAACCCAGGGCCCCTTCCTTCTATCCAAGACTGCATCCATCTCACTGAGCCATCCTCCCTCTTGCTTGCTTCTTCCTAGCCCTACGTATGTTCCTCACCTGCTTTGCCCAGTTGGCCAGCTTCCAGAGAAAACCTGGAGAGTTTTTTGGGCAATGCCCAGTCCCTGGCCCGGTGGTTTTAGATCATTTTGTTGGGAAGTGGGAGATCCCCCCAGTGTGAGGGGAGCCTAGTACCTGGGTTTCTCCCTCCCTAGGCAGGTGCTTGGGGCTGAAAAAAAGGAGAGAGATGTGCATACCTGAACACCCCTATTCTGCCACAAATGGACAGAGAATCTTAAACCCACTTCAGTATGAAAAATTGCACTTGCACAGCTATACATGTGCCCTGTAAGCACGTAAAGGTGAAAGAGGCTTTGGCCCAAGGTAGATTGAACAAGAAGAGGGAATAAAAAATGGATGAAAAGGTTCTAAGAAGACCAGCATTTTAAATGCATTACAAATCTACAGTAGCATTGAGCAGAGTGAAAACATTTGAGAACCCATTCTCCATGTACAAACTCCATTTGCTCAGAGCTATGATTTGGAAGTCCATGTGATAAAAATAAATTTTCACTCTGCAGAAACTGCTGTTTTGGAAAAGCTCATATTTTAATGTACATTTTCAAGTCCCTATCTGTTGTGGCAGCCATCTACATCCCAAGCCTGAGGAGATTATTCTGTTAAAAAAATAATTAATTTTTATGTACTTACTGTGTTTTTTCATGTAAAATAGGAGAGAGCAAAAATAATCAAGTCCATGTGCTGAAAGGTAGACGTGCTGCACATCTATACCAAATTGAAAATCTAACTGTCCAGAGATTTATACCATGGTATCTTTCCAGATTTCCTGAAAAATAAATGTATTTGTATGAATTACAAACTTCAACATAGCTTAGGTAAAAATCAGTTTGATTTTTTTTTATTTGTTCACTCTGAGTTTTATTTCTATTGTTCTACTGTTTTGGTTCCATCATAGGATTTTGAAGATTTATCAGAAAGTGATATAAGCAGTGAAGATCAACACGATAAAATCAAAGCAGACCTTATGGAGGAAGAGCTTAAATCCAGGTTATTTGACCTAGCTGCTAAGATGAATGACAAGGAAACATCTTCCGGTGAAGAACAGGAGTCAGAGCCTCAAACAGAATCTGAGAACCTGAAGGAGAGTGTGTCATCGGAAGAAAACAGCAAAAGCATACAGGATGAGCTGAAGAAGGTAAGCTGTCACTACAGTGGCCTAGAGATATCTTAGGAATTGGAATCCTTGCTGTTGGGAGGTGTCTCTATTTGTAGTGGGGCCAGATCTGGAGTAGATCATGTTCACGGGGGAAAATGAAGAATTTATACGTGCCTACCAGTAATGCTTAGATAATTCCATAGATTTTCCTGTTGCCTCTCTGGCTGGATATTTCGTGCCTTTTTAATGTTTTCCCAAACCTGTTTTCCTATCTATTCATTCTCCTTTTTCTCTGACAACAAGACTCCATAGGTGTAAAAATCTTAGAGATTCTGAAAGGCAGTGTCCTTCCTAACAATGCATTTGATCCGCTGTGGGCACATCTACATGAAACACTTTACTGCAAAGTAGAGGTAATTACTGAGCTGTAAGCATCCGTATCTACACACACAGATCCTTACTGCACAGTAATTGGCTCTAATCATGAGTAAATTTGCCCCCTGCAAATACAAGTAGAAAATTTACTTGTGGTTAGTAACTGTGCAGTAGCACACATGTAGACATCTGACCAGGAGCAAATGTGCTCCCAGTCAGCTGGGCAGCAGGGGGCAGGAGATAGCTCCCTGACCCCAAGAGCTGCCTACTCCTGGGGCAGGCTCTGCCATTGGAGTTTGAGTAAAGACAATGTCCCCCTGGCCTCACAGCAGGAAGCTCCCAGCCCCCACTCCACGATTGCCGAGCCAGGGCTGGGAGATCCTTATCTCTCAGCCCAGGCTCCACAGTTGCCGGACCCTGAGCTAAGAGATCCCTGGGAGGATATCCTCCTGGGAGATAAGGATCTCCCAGTCTGGGTCCCGCAACTGTAGGGCTTGGGCTGAGAAATAAGGAACTTCTAGCCCCAGCCCTGCAGTCACAGAATGGGGACTGAGCGTTCCCCACTCCTGGGGCAGGGGGACACTGTTCCTGCCTGGGCTCTGATTGCAGAGCCCACCCTGGCAGCAGGCAGCTCCTGGGGCCAAGGAGCAATGTCCAAGCCCCTGCTAGGAGACAGCTGTCTCCTTGCCTAGAGCTCCCCCTGGCTGCTGGAGGGGCTGGTAGCGGGGCCATAGGGAGCAGGATCAGTCTGCTGCTAGGGGCAGCAAATCTGTTCCTGCATACTTGCACATGTAGACACATGCCCAGAAGCATTTACTCTTGAGTAGTTTACTCAGGAGTAAACTGTTTCTGGAGCTTTTGCACATGTAGATGCACCCAGTGTGTGTGTGAAGTGTTCCAAAATCCAGCCCCTGCCGTGAGATTCTTGATTTCAACAATGGTTGACTGTATTTACCACCAGATTTTTTTGTCTTTCTCCTCTGAGTTTCCCTTTATATGATGTTATAATGCACCTGAATATAGGGCTCTCTTCCCCCAGCTGGACCTAACAAACTTGTCACCTCTGAAATCTCTAATTGACTTTGACCAGATCCTTTTTGCGCATCTGGCAAAGTGAAGTCTATTAGATTTTTACTCAGACTTTATTTTTGGATGATGTTGATTTACCTTGGGATGGATAAAAGCTTGTATATACTGACCTCAGTTTCAACATAATCCAATTCTTTCAAGTGTATGAAATGGACTGCCTGTACATACCAAGATAAAAATTAGTTCTGCTAGCAAGCAGTGAGGAATCTTCTATGTCTTGAATAAGAGAGGCTTTTGTTTTGAGCACAAGACTGCGAGTTCCTTTCATTGTGACATAGGCATGTGGTTAACTAATGTCCAAGGTGTTCGTGTGTGGGTATAACTTAAGCTATGATACATTATGGCAATAGACAAGTAGCAATGGGCTTTTTATGCCATTCAAACCATGCAAAATATGCCTCCTACCAGAGACTTCTGCTTCCGCTAACACAAATATAGTTCCTTACTGCTTAATGTGTGAAAGCTCATTGTTAGCAGTACGCTGTCCACCCAGATCTTTCATTTGTCAAGAATGGTGTGTTCTGCAATTACCTTATGGGCCTATTGAGAAGGGGCTGAAGTTGTTTTGTTTTGGAAGCTTTTATGTAACATAGTGAGGAAGTAGAAAATTTGTAAACAAAGAGCTTTGTGCTTTGGTTAGAGATAGTAACATTACAAAAAGCTACATTTCTGTGAATTTCAAAATGGGTTATATCTAAACATGCTTATTACTGCATGTGACTAAACTCCAGGGCTTATTGCTGTGGAGTTTATTGCCCTTGGGCACCCAGGAACACAGCACACTGAGGGAGCAGGGAGACTGGGGGGGTCACCTGCCAGCCCAGGGCTCCTCTGACCTGGCTGAATGTCTTGTGGAGGGGCTGGGTGGGGCACAAGGATGCTTTGGTGTGGGGCTAGCTGGCAGGTAGCCCATGCACTGAAGAACCCTTGTACCCCAGCCAGCCAGGACAGCACCTACAAGTGTACTGCTGCAGAGTTTTTCACTCTTGTATTTACAAGCGCACAGTTGTAGAGTAAACTTGTTTACTCCAGCCTAATAGGGGTACACATGTAGACACATAACAGTTACTGAATAGCTAATTAGTCAGCTCCACAGTAAGCAACTCGTGTAAATGTGCCTAATTAGTCCTTTCCTGTTAAGCTGGAGATTTTATGTCTGTGTTTTCTGGAAATATTTTTCATCTGTGGATGAATGTACAGACCTGCAAAGCTAACAATGAATGGTTAATTTTTTCCTCTTTTATGTTAACCCTAACAAATATATGGGGGCTGGACTCAATGATCTTCTGAGGTCCCTTCCAGCCCTAATGTCTATGAAATATGCTTATTAGTTGTCATGGTTTTACCATTTTTACAAGGATGTTAGAAATCATGCAAATATTTCATTTTCTGAAAATACTTCTCAGTAATACAGGCTTCTAAGGAAAGGAAAGAACCTTTGGAAGTGAACCAAAAGTGTTGCTGGCTATGGACCCCCTCCTCCCCCCAAGATCTAGAGTTAGTCATCCATGGCTATTGTATATCTTTTTGTCTGCAATAAAGTAGTCAAGAAAACCAAATACTATTCATAGTCATGGTCTCAGAGGAATTGATAGCGGAACTTGCTGAAGCTTCACTATAGAAGAGAAACATGTGGGCTAACTTCATTCCTATTCTTGGCAGGTATTTTAAGAGGGTTTTTTATCTCTCTTCCAAATGACACCATCTTTTTTCTAAGTTGGCTGACCAACGTATTACAATAAAATACTGAAGATGAGAATATATGATGTCAGAAGAGTAGCTTCAGCTGCCTAAAGAGGAAGTTATATCTAAATGTATATCTAAATGTATTTACTTGAATACAAGATGACTCTGAATATAAAGGTGACCTCCCAATAATTAAATTCTATTATTTATAAATGTCTAAATTTGTTCTCATTTTCCAGGTATTGACTCTAATTACTGGAGGTTTGCCTTGAATTTGTCCCCCTCCCATTGCTGTAGCAGGGAAAATAAATCTCCAGGGATCAGGTGGGCCCCTTGCCTTCCACCCGCACCCACCCGACTTCCTTCCCTGCAGCCTCTTCCCCACCTACCTCAGATCCAATCGTGCTCTCTGTGAACACATAGAAATGTGGGGCAAATTTGAAAAGACTGACTTTGAAGTAAATATGCCTGTAATAATTCAGTTCCTCCAGAATTGATGTATTTTACCTTTTTTTGAAACTGCTGTAATTTTTAGCACAGATACTCCATAAACACACTTTTAATCAGTACTTTTATATCTACTTTTATATAGTACAAACTATGCATGATATCAGTCTAAAGCCAAAAGATTCATAATTTACTATGTTGTTCATTGGACTGGACCACAGCAGAGTCAACAGTGTTTCAAGCTAGTGGTGACCCTGGAGCTCAGCACTGCTCACTATGTGTGTGTGTAATACAAATACCCACCTTCCCCACAAAGGATCAATGTGCTAATTAACCCCAACTCATGACTGGAACTGGGTGTTCTCGTCATGAGTCCTGGAATCCTCCATAATTTATATGCCGATGAGGCACAGAGCAACCTGGTCCAGCTCCACCTCATGGAGGGGTTTGCTACACTAATGTGCCACAGTCTGAGAGAAGGTGTGGCAGAGGGATTTGGGGTGAACTGTTTGGAGCCCTGTTTGGTAATGTTTTAGAGACATTTAAGGTTGGTGAAAACACAGGAATAATTGGAAATTGAAAAGAAAGGTACAGCTAAATTGTGGGAATGAAGAGAAAGTTGAAATGCATTCAGTGCAGTGGCTCACCATGACTTGGAAAAGAGTCAGCACTGAAGGGGACTGAGTGCAAATGGGCACTACTATCTATCATATTCAAGTGGGGTATGCTAACCTGCCCTTTTGGCTCAAACTTCACAGTTCAGGACTGTATTAAGATGGGGCTGTGTGAAATATACTGGTACTACAGAAACACAGAAGATAATGGGAAAGAAATGGCAGACCTCATATGGTGGAGAGGGGACTGGCATAGATGTTTCAGAGGCAAACTCTCTGAAGAGTACAATGCATGAAAGCACTGGAATGGTTATGGGTGCATGGTGTAAACTGTGTAACAGGACTAAAATAGTTTAACTATCAAAGTATGTTTTGGTTTGCCAGGTGAACCACAGTGGTCACTTGATGGGTTGTTAGAGGTACAGTTTTTTTATTGTGACAGTCGTGCCTCCCCGGGACCATCTATTCGTGGTCCTGCAACACCGATCAAGGGCCAACCACCCGCCTTCTTGCCTGCCATGCCTTGTTGTTATTTGCTTGATTGAAAGATCTTAATCAAAACAGGTGGCTGCCTATTTTCTGCCTCAGTGCCTTAGGCACTATCTGCGGCTCCTTTCCTCACCTTATACTGCAGCCCAAGCCTCACCGATGTATCTGGTGTTGTTCAGGTCTGTTCTACTCCCTGCGCCGTGCGGTCGCTCTCTGGCTTATCCCTCAGCCAGCACCCTCACCGGTGCCCTCTAGCTCATCTCAGAGCCCCCGCCCCTACCGGCGCCCTCTAGCCTGTCACACACTGCCCATTTCAGAACTTCTCACCCGTGCCAACTC